CAGGCAAGTGTGGCGAGACAATAGCCGTCGTCTACGAACTCACGAAAAGAACTCAGGAGCAACTGTTCGCCGGTTGGGCACAATAATACAAAGCATTTTTGTGCCCAATGAGGAGCCGGTATCAGCTTGAATTTTGGAAATAGTTCGGTGAGAGTCGGTACCCAGGGGCTCTTCCGCACTTACTGGAAAACTTTCGTCCCGCCTTTTTCCCGACCCGACTGACTGCCCCTGGGTCTCCGAGGATGGTCAAAACCTTTCTTACTACTAATTCTAACAAGACGCTATGGGAGCGTACACTTTGGCGTCGTGGTTGTGGATTAATTGTGAATGCGGAGGAATAGTAAGGAATGACATTTTTTCATATACCCTTCCATAAAAATTCCCTTACTTTTCTCCTTTTGTGTAACAGACGTCTTAACTTCTTCACCGGAAGTCTCCTAGGTGCATGGCTGTGACCCAATTCGATTATAATTTCTGTCATAAATGATTGCGCACGGCGAGATCTCAGTTCCACTTCCTTTATTTTCTCAACAACAACACTTTCCTTATGTACAGTTAACTCCACACCTTCTCCAGCGACGTAACTATAAACTAACATCCCTACATCCCCTAACAAAACTTGCTGAAAATGCACAATCTCCACACCGAGGATAATTCATGTACAACATCGCAACACAAACTAGAAATACGAATCTCGCAATAACCCTAGCGAAACTCGGTTAAGTCGGTTTTTTAGTAGCGCCACTCAAGTTAAGCCCTGTTGGGCGGGGTTAGGAACTGGATGGGCACCCACCAAGCTAGATTCCAGGCGGAAAAGACAAGGTTTCGACAATAAAAAGCCGAACTGAAACGCACTTTGGAGAATCATGTGGCGCGACATATTAAAGCAAACTCGTCTGTGCAGTGAGACGCACTGAAAATTGCTCTTGTATCTCGATTTTCGCTCAAATTTTGAATCTACTAGCCCAATTTGATTCAACGTTTTTTGTAAAATACTTTTGCAGTCAATATTTCTAGCCAGAATAATAAATAATAACAAGCCGAAAAGTCACCAACTTATCCTGTACCTCGTGCATAACTTGTAACCATTTCTCACATCTCAAGTTACCTTGGGTCGCAGTGGCGCAATCGGCTAATCCCGTGACGTAGGGTCTCATCTGATCTTACGGGTCACACAAGTGAGTCGGTTCAAACCCCGCGCAAGCCAAAACAATAATTCTTTCTTCCTCCAATAACAACGAAATCGAAGTGATCTCGAGATATCTCGAACTAATTCGGCGCTGATTTCGTAAAATAGCCGAATAAAGCCGAATACCTACAAACTTTGCATGCCTAATCTCGTCCAGAAAAAGCAACTTTGAGACATTCCTGAGTGTCGCGACTGCTTTACTTCGCGCTCCGCCGAGGTAAAAATGCGTTTTTGCAACAAGACTATGCGCCTAAGATGAGTAGGGCAAGTCAAACTCCAAACTGAAATACAAAATTGAAGATAAGAATAGACAAGTGAATAGTATAAAATACACAAAGCTGGCTTAGTAAGACAAGAACTCGCAACCTGAGAAATATGGAGTTTTCATGACAATGACTTATCTTAAATAACACTAAGAAACTTGATTTATCTTAAGACCATTCATCTGTATATTAAAGGCGAATTCATCTCTTCTCTGCCCGGGTTTAAAAGTTGAGTAATTTGACTTTTGTATATTTAGAGATAGCTTGTTGGCTTTAAAACAAATCAGATAACTTAGGCATTTCAGAGTTAATCAAGTTCATTAATCAGGAAAGTCAATATGAGAAAAGAATAAGTTGGTATCATCAGCAAACAAGAATCGCCGAAAAGCGATTTTAACTGGGCTGTCGAAGGCGATTTTTTCTGAGGAAGGGGTTGCTGCACCACAGAACCTTGTCGCTGGCCATTGCGTGACATAGCACCTCATGTTTGAGTGAAACATAAACTCATTTGAACATTGTATCCTTTTGGAACACTTTTGTAACAAGAAAAATGAGTACCATTTTTAAGTCGGGACTGTATAGCAACTTTTCAAATTCCACTATTATAAATAGAAGTAAGCAAGTGAGCCATTCTAAGTTGGAAACAATAAGCGTTATTTTTAAGCACCCCTTCCCCAATCCCTCTGCCCCCAAAATACAGTGTGACAGTATAGCGTGACTAATTTGACCTAACCGGAAATTCCAAAAATTATTGTCGTTCTGCGGGTCATAAAATGCTGTTAATAACAAGCAGTTCATTTCTCAATTCTGGTTCTTAAAACTTAGAAAGCAAATTATATTTAAGTTTTGTTTTCGTCTGATATTGCGTTATAAAGCCTTTCTACCTATCCTAGTCAATATATATATATATATATACAATTTTTTTTTTGTGGACGTGGTGATGTACAATGAGCACATTCCCCGGGACGTTCCTTTCCTGTAAGGAATGACTTTTCACGCGCTGAGCAAGAATCGCAAAAAGATAAAAAGAGACATTGGACGTCACAATTTAAACGGTTTAAGCTTCAACATAAAGCGAAGAGAAACCTTAAAAGCAACCCATCCTACCATCTTTTGAAAAAGGCACTGATAGCTTGTAAAAAGGGGCAATGATAGCTTGAGAGACGTCTTTATTCAATGGATGTACATACAAACACTCTAGCTACACATAGAGAGATTTGCAATCACGTTTTGGAAGGAAAAACTCCTCAAAAGGTTTAAACTTCAACAAAAAGTGAAGAAAAACCACAAATGGTACTCATCGTAGCATCTTTTGAAGGAGACGATGAAAAAGCACAGTACGCCAATTTCAAACACATCTCATTTAATGGCTGCCTTGGCTTAACATTCTTCACCAAGTTAGTCATTGATTGTGTTTATCGTCATGACAACTAAATTCTCCGGGGGTACTCCCTTACATTTGCCTTATACAATCGGCGACAAAATTGTTGAGACATTGTACTCAAATAGGGTAACTTTGGAGAACAAAAGAATCGGCACCCCTGTCCTCTCCCCACCGTTCAAAGTTGGGGTGTTTGTTGTTTCTAAAAAGGTAGCTCGAACATCGGCACAACAGTGTATGGAAGGGATGGGGGAGGAAAAGCTATATTTCCTCCTTTTGAAGTCAGTAAAACGTAAAAAAGCCCAGTTTAGGGCGAAGTGTCTTAACTCATTTTGTCGTCTATTGTAGGTATTGATCTAATATAAAATCTGGAGTAAGGATTTGGCAAACCGAACAACACACCCCACCAACAATTCCCAGGAATACGCCCCTGGATTACTCGGTTAATCATTGATAGAGGCCGTTTGCTGAACGAAACATTCCGGTGGGTAGGTAAGCATTAAGAGAATGATTCGACACATCCCCACCAGAATTGCTAGGGATACCACCCGGAAAATAATCGAAGGTATTTTATAAACTGGGCCAGCCTACGGCAAGCACAGTTAATAAAATCAGGTCACAGATATTTGAAATCTGACACAATTCATTGATATAAATTAAAGAGAATAAGGGACCAGGGACAGACTCCTGAGGAACTCCACACAAGATTTCACGAACTGAAGACGAGATACCATTAAATTCAACGTATTGTTGCCTATTACAAAGGTATCATTTGATCCACTCTAGGGCCAGACCATGAATCTCATAATGCTCAAGCTTATCGAGTAGAATACAATGATTAACGGTATCAAAACCTTTTGATAAATCAAGGCATATTCTTACTGCATGTTTCCTCTTATCAATGGCCGAAGTAATCTTGTCATGTAGGTATAATAACTCGGCTAACGAGGTTAAATGTTTCTTTCTGAAACCTTATTTAGATATCGAATTAAGCGATTGTACAAAACGTTTTCTAGAAACTTCGAAAAGATTATTAAGACTTATACAGGTCTATAATTAGAAAGTAAACTTTTGTCACCAGACTTATGTAGAGGAACGACATTATAGCCAATTTCATTTGAGCAGGGACAATACCTGAGTTAACTGATAGATTTAAACCGTATGTCGACATATGGTTAACGTATGGCCAGCCGCAGTGTTAAGACGAAGTGACTTAGCAATTTCAACAATTTTAGTCTGCGTAGCAGATTCAAAGAAAAAAGGATTAATCAAGCGATCCGGTAGAAAAGACTTATGTGTCCTAATTGAAATGGATATATTTTTAGCGACTGTGGGCCCCAGATTGGTAAAAAAAAGTTGCAAAAATGATCAGCTATTCAACTGGAATATGAAATCTCCTGATTATTGATGGTGAAGGTTGACGGTAATTTATTAGAAAGACTGTTTCTATTTATTATCCGATTTAAAATCTTCCAGGTACCTTTCGCATTATTTTTCAACAATTCAAGTCTTTTTCATAATAGAGAGATTTTGCTAGACGTAGAGAGTGGTGCAGTTTGTTCCTATATTTTTAGAATTTTCCTTACTCGTTGGAGTGGGAAAATTATAATTTTTTTATACAATTTTGTTCTTCTTCCTAATGGATTTTTGCAAGCCCGGATCATTACGGAGACGATTGTTCAAGTTTACAGGTTGCCGAAGGCCTTAGGTATTCTAAAGGAAAAACTTAAACTCAGGAGTCAAACTTAACTTTAACTGCATACATGCGTACAATGTAGATCCTTACATGTGAACCTTTGGTGCTGATAACTTCAGTTTCAGAAGCACTTGGTCTTTAATTTAGTAAAACATTTTCTGGTCTAACGCCCCGGGTCTAACGTGTGCATTTAAGCTAGGGATGAGGGTTCTCGAGCCACCGCTAAAGACGGTAAAAAGTAAATATTTCGTCTCAGGCAAGAAAGGAATGGTGGATCAGGTCACCCGGAACGAAGTTGGCGATAATTGATTGGACTACAGAGGGAGAAAATTCAAATTAACTCATTGCACTCATGATTACTTAGTTTATGAATATTAGTAACAATATTATTTGATATCTATTTTTTTTTTCATTCTAGCTGCTATTTCTAGCATGATCTCTGGCGTGGAAGGACTGAGAACACTTTTGGATAGTATAGAAACAAACCGCAGAATTGCTATCGGCGTTTGGAATGAAAGTGATCATCCGTGGGAAGCAATTTCCGTGTATTTTTCGTCTGGCACCTCAGATAACATCCTTCCACTTAATGTTCCAAAAGGTACAAACTAGATTAGTCTAATTTTAAAAGCATAACTCCTACCTAACTACTTATCAGTATATTATGCTTGCTGTTTAGCGCAGGTGTACGGCATTCGGATAGATCCCAGACACGCATCCAATGTGTTGTGGGGGTAAGAGAGAATTGGGGTTAGGTTGAGGCGCGCGGGAACTAATGGGAAGAGACAAAGGAATAATAGCGACTTGCAGACTTCGTTTCATAGAGCCGTGCAAATTGCCACGGAGCCGTGCAGGTACTTTTCGTAAAGGTAATGGCACTTTTCTGGTATTTTTGTGGTCAAAATCCTTTGTGACGATGATTTTAATTTTTTTATCAAAAAAAAAACGGTTTTCTCTATGTAGCAAAAAGTATTTGTTATGCCGTTTCGCCTGCATGGCGTGCGCGCTGGAAGATTCCCGGGAAAGCAATGTTGACTATTTCGACAGTTCTTACAGTGAACTGTCGTTTGAAGGTTGGTAATTCTTTTCTCTATTTTTTCTCTTTCCTAACAAAGGTTACTTTTGAGGTATCTCGCAGCACCAGTTCACACTATAAAGTATCTTTATTCAGAATACCCACATTAAAGTTATTCCAATCATTGCAGATGCAAACATTAGGTTTACTTCTACATTATTAATATCAAGCATTAAAGCTAGCTCCCTCAATGTGTTTATTTTTATTAGCCTCTTCAAGAACTATATTTTTATACAAATCTTGAAATCAAATGTAACAAAGGTAGGACCCTAGGTCACAGTTAAACAGTCGTTTATTGTTAGTAAAATTGTCAGTTGTCCAGTCGTTTTCTCGTAGTTAGTTTTGCTTGATTCACGTCAGTAAGTCCTTTGTACGGTGCCGCTAACTGTTGATTACAATTCAGTAGCATTTGTTCTAAGTTAGTAAACCAGCTTTCTAAAGAGAGTCGTTGATGGTAGTCTGTAGAATACGTAATACATGTCGCAGAGTCCCAATCGATTTGATGTTTCGTCTGTAAATGGTGCGCGGCAATGTGATTATTGACGTCATCATTTGTCGTCGCTCGTTTGTGTTTAGTCAGTCGCATGCTAAGGTTTCTGCCGGTTTCACCAATGACGTAGCCTGGCAGTCGTAGCAAATGATCTTGTCCCTTGTCCCGGGGGGGAGGGGTACTTCCTTATAAGAGGCTAATGGGGATGTGCCGCTGGATGGTGTCGCATTTTTATGACTGGATTGACTATAATGGGGTTACATTTTCAATAGAGTTACTACAGTGGGGTCGCACATTTTCGGATTTTTGGGGTAAGAAAGTTCTTCATATTTACGGTTAGCAAACGTACCCGAATGTTTGTACTGTAGGTGGGAGGCAATGATAGTCTTTACACTAGAGCCTAAATAAGCTAAGAAATATTTCAAGACAAGTAAATTTTAATTACTTCAAGTAAAATAAAGCTTCACACACAACCGATTCTTTTTCTTTCTTCTTAGCGGCTCTTAAGTCTTCAAACAGCCTAGTGTAAAGACAACCAATGTGTTCTTTATTCAATTTTAAAAAAATGGGTCAATTCATTTCAGGACTGGACCTATTTAAAGGACTGATAAGGTAGATACATGAATAAAAAGTGACTGAGATGGAATCGCGAAAATGACATATTTGCCCAAAAGTGACTAAGATGGGGTCTAGATTCGGCCAAGGAACAGACTATAATGGGGTACGGGCTCTGAGAGGCCAGCGGCACATACCAAGTAAAAATTAACCCAAGTTCCCCCCCCCCCCCTCCGCCCGGGGGGATCTTGTATAATGCTCCCTGTCTGTCCTATCAAATGCTGCGAATGCCAGGCTACTCGGATCTTAATTCGTTGTTAAAGTTACTTTGCATTCGTACCAATCTTATGTCAGTAGAACTAGTAAACAAAAGACACACTTTTCATTATTGCCAAGAAATAACCGTTACTAATATCATAGGTGACGAATTACTCCTTAATTTTGGCGCAAAATTTCAGCGTTAATTTGTAATTTCACATGTGAAATTACAAAATTGCCATGGCAACCCTTCCGTACGTCTCAGTGTCAAGATGGTGACGAAGTTTTAATTTAAAATGCCGTGAATGAAGATGTCAGGGCACAAAAAGACGCTTTAGAAAACAAGAACACACAAGAGAACATCAAGAAGGATTCTAAGAGGTATTTTGCGAAAAAGTCTGAAAATTTAAGGTCTAAACATTTGAGAGAGTGGAGTTCTCGATCGATACGATCCAGGATAAACATGTCAAAAATCCAAGATTGCTAACGTAATTCGTCACCCATGATATTAATAGGTAATCAAATGGTATACTCGTGAAATTAGGGAATAATTTCACGCGCGTTTTGTCCAAATCCTAATAATTTCCCTCGCCTAAGGGCTCGGGAAATTATTAGAAATTGGACAAAACGTGCGTGAAATTATTCCCTAATTTCACTCGTCACCATTTGATTACACATACCTATCTGCTTGTTCTCATTAGGTGAGGCCATACTATGGGGAGCTCGAAAAACTTCGGGACCTATAGCTAGAGGAGCCGTTGGAGTCTTCACGTACTACATACCAGCCTTAGACAAGACATTAGCTATCATGTATTCCGTTCCTTTTGATTTCAACTTATTCAGAAATTGGTGGAATATAAAACTTTACAGCGGTCGCCGGGAGGCCAGTAAACAGACGTTCAGAGACATGGATGGTTACGACAAAGTGAAGGGTGATAACGCCTGGCATACTAGAAATTTAGGTTCAGGATTGTCTGTGAAGGGTGCGATGGGGAGCACGGGTCAATCCGAACTTGAGATTAGGGTTGGGATTGCAAGCAAGACATGAGCTGCTCAGTAGCCAACTGGTTGCCTACTTCCAGACAGTTTTTTTTTAATCCCCTCACGTTCTATTTTTATTGTTTGTTCACCAATTATTCCAGTGTAGTGCCTGTAAACTAGCTAAAGAGACTAACCGCACTTCCGCACCAAAAATAGCGCTCTTTATAGTTGAAAGTCCCAGTAACTTTTCATGCCTAAAGCCGGCACATTTTAAAATGAAAATCTTAAGAATGGTGGTGTTGTCCCCTAACCAGTCCAGTTTTTATTTCTCTATCTCATAAGTGTTATGTGATGAAAACATGAAAAACGTAAAAAAGCCTTTCACCCTTCGAGAAACGCCTCCCTGGCCCAATAACACTGAATTCCCAACTCTCATACTAGTGTAAAACGAATAATCATAACTATAACAAAATTCCCAAATCTGATTGGCTATCAACTGCCCTGATTTCAGCACTAACAGGACAGTGTAAAAGGACGGTACGCCTGTAATTGACAGTACGCGCCATCGCACGCGCGCACTTTTCACTGCGAGCAAGAAAAGCCTTAAATATCAAAAATTTTGTAACAGAACTTCGTGTCGTCCAATTCAATTCGGCCTGTAATCTTACTTGTGATTAAAAAAATCAGACTCCCGCTACGCGGTCGTCCGATTTTGTTAATCACTCGTGTGATTAGAGACCGAATTGGACTCCACTCAGTGCTATTACCAATATTCAAAAATTTTGCCCCATTTGAAAAGTGGATTGCCACCCGATTTTTATGAGTTTTTAAACCCATGAACCAATGTCATTTACAACGTGTTTTTATTTAGATAATAATCAAACATTGTGGCTTGCAATATTTTTACAGTTATCGTGTATTGATTTATAACATTTTAAAAGTGTTCGATAGATAAATATATTACGCCGAATGCATGTACAAGGTTTTAGTTTGGTCGAGAAACTCCTTCTGGGCGTCGAGTTTTTAAACAAGCACGTGCCGTAGTATGATTTGGTAAGTTCTATCTTTTGCTAAAATAAAAATTACAGAATTATTTACTCAGTTGATTTAAGTGTTCAAACAAAAAAAAAACCCTTTGGTTTGTATTACCAGTCAAAGTTGTCTAGATTAATTAAGTTCCACCAAGGAAGTACTGTTTTTATCAATCTATTGCACTTTTGAGACTTTCATTGAACTGGCCCGAGTTAGCAGGCAAAAACCCTGATTATCTGAGTTCACAATCGGATCGTATACCCCCTTCATTAAACGTAATTTATTCATGATTATTTGAGATTACGTGGAAAATAAACTTCTATTATTCAATTTATTAGTCCATGATGCAATATTGTTCTTAGCTATTAAAGACGGATTTTTCCTAGCAAACTCGTAAACAATTTTTGAGTTACTGTATGGAAAAAGGCGGGACTCATTAGTATTGTTATGATATTCCAACAAGAAGGTTTCAAGCGACAAGTTTGGTACTGTACGAAAAATGACGAGTTGTACTTTTAGTAGTACTGGTATTGTACGTAGTTGATTTGTATTCGTATGAACCTTCTTTGTATTTTTTATATCTCTCTGACTATTTTGTTAGGACGGGACATTTACTGGACCTATGTGTATTTTAGAGTAAAAGTAGATTTTTTTGTTACGCTATAACCTCGAAGGAAAGTAAATTAATAATTCTTGTAGCAAATCGAATTTCTGCTAATGTTTATTTAAATTAGAGACCTTAAGATTCTAAGACAAGTACGACTACGAGTACGATATTTTACCAGTACTGAGTAGTGCTCGCGCGTGAACCAGCGTCATTTTGACTGGAAAACGTGATAGCATTTGTCAATCTACTACGAGTTTAGCGAGAATGTAGAAGTGGCGGAAACAGGAGCGGAAACAAGATATCAAATGTTAGAAGTTTTATCATTTTGCGACCGGGAGAGTGTGTAACCTCCTTTACTAAAGATAACAGTGATAATTTTTCAAGTGGAAAATAATAAAATGAAGCTTTCCGGGGAGTCTATATTTTGAGAATACGCGAAAAAACTTTAAGTCAAATCTCCTATTCGTAGTTGTCCTCGTCCTGGAATCTAAAGGTCTCTAATGAATAAGATTTACAGCCTTTAACGAGCTTTTGTTAGAGGGATTCAGCTAGTCTTGTACTTGTAAAGTTATTAAAAGAGTGTGAAGTTAATAAATCAGAGTGAACATAGTGTCAAATTGTCACATATCATTGTAGAAGCACTTCCTGTCCCCCAACGTGCAAACGTTCTTTTAAACCAGTAGTGTTTGCAAATTTGTTTCATCAAGAATGTCGATGTTTTCCCCAATGTAACATAACACTGCTTTTACGTGGAGTGATTTTTTAAGTTCCGGTAAGTGTGGTTCCGAAAATGATTATTGCTAACAGCGAAAGCATGTGAACGGTTTATATGACCCTCACTGCAAAGTCTTATTATCTTATTACTTGAGGCGTCGTAGCCGCTAGCTTTTGAAAAGTTAACAGATGATAAAAGGTTACGAACCATTTCTTCATCCGCAGTGTTAACAGGCAGAGTCTGATGACCACCGAGGGAGAAATGGAATTTCAACAGCGAGCAACTCCCTGACTAGGCATATGTCACGGCGTTTTTACGGACCAGTTTATTTTTAGAAACATTTTAGAGCACTTTTCCTTGCGAAAATAAAATCTCCACTATGTCTATGAGCTCATTCGAAGTATAAGATATCAAAAAGGAAAACTAACGTTATTAAGAGGCAAAAACTAGCATTTTTAATTTAGGTCCGTAGGTTTTGCTGACTGGTTTCATTTGTGGTTTGAGGGATTTAAAAGATATTCAAAATTCGCGCCAAACCGTTCTAAAAATAAACTGGTCCGCGAAAACGCCGTAACACGAGCGCATGGAAGTCATGGAAGTTGCTCGCTCCGGGTTCTGAGCAGAGTCATTGAAAACGTTTTCTTTTTGTTTTGGATCAGATTTCAAAACATCACCTTTGGAGATCGCCGGGATAGCCGAGTAACACCTATTACCATACGTGGATTTCACTGGCATACGCCACCACTATTTGGAAGAAATCACTAAGAGCTTGGTTGGTCTTTGTATTATCTTTGCCATCCTGATACGACTAACTACTAAGTTTCTCTGAACAAGATGGGATTTAGGAGCTGTTTACATGGAGGGAGGTAGATCCTAGAGGGAGGATCATGCTAGCACCATATGTTTTCTGTATTCAGTTTACATGCAAAGGGTTGTACTTGTCCCTAGCGCTAGGATCTTCCTTGTACTAGGACCTTTCTAGCTGAGAGGTAGGAAGATCCTAGGACCATGTAAACTGCTTTCGCTAGGAAGATCCTAGTACGAGGGACAAACGCGACAAAATGTCGGCGGGTCGTTCAGTGGCTAATTACGGCAATAAAGGCCGACCATTTCGTTTGGAGTAATACACGAGCAGATTATTGTGTTAATTCAGCTGAAAGGTTGTGATTTACTCCAGTAAAGAGAGCAGAAGGACCCAAATTGCATTTTTGATTTTGTCGTCTGCCATTTTTGATTCCTTTTCTAACCTTCTCTACTTGGACAACTCACGGGCCGAAATTTCTGCATGTAAACCCAACGTAAAGTTATTCCACCTTCTAGGATTTTCCTAGTACTAGGATCTTCCTCCTTCCATGTAAACAGCCCCTTACGTTTGGAATAAGTTTTTAAGACGATCGCGCTTTCGAATAGCTTGACAGATCTGACCAGTCATCCATTTGTCGCGAGGCCGAATAATCACTTTCTTATGTGGTAAAAAAGACTCCACTAGACTTAACAATAAAGAAGGGCAGCGTCAAAATCATCATTCCAATCTGCGTTAGATAAAGTGTCATTTAACCCATCAAGATCAATCATTAAACTTCCAGATCTCTCTGGTAAAAGATTTGGGTTTTTGTTTGCGTCAATTAAAATTAGCATAGATAATGCAGTGATCACAGTTGGCTGACGGACTGAGAGTACCAGAAGGAACAAAAAACCCAGGCGAGTCTGATATGATAAGCTAAAGAGTGGACTCCAGGGACTCCCCAAACCGAATAATTCGCGTTGGATTATCTACAAGTTGATATTGTTGCTTTCCAAAAAATAGGCGGTCGATGACTCCATGTGGCTACTTCTGCAAGGAGAATGGAAATTGGACAGGCTGCATTCCTTTTATTAACTGAAAAATAACATGTACAAGCCCTCAGGATAACAGACATTGAAAGTAAACGATAGTTAAGATCGAATGATGAATAAAAATTCCGGAATATTCGTTTTAAGTCATAACGGTCAAAAACAACAGCAAACAATGAAGTCTTTTTAACAAAAGGTATCGCGTTTGAATCTGCCTTCCAATGTCTATGAGGTTCAGATTCAAGAGACTATCTGATCTGTGAAATTATGTCTTTTGAACGTTAAGATAATACTGTAAACAACCATTACGAAGAATAGTGCGTCTCGAAGGACATTTTCTGTTCCTTATTTGAGTGCCGAAAGACAGTATCCACCACACGGCGCTGACGAAGCCGTTGGTGTTCCTGAATTGTTGTACAGATCACTCGACGATCAAATGTGGCAAAAAACCCATTTCGATCCGGCGGAAAATCCTCCGCAAAGCCTGAGTGAAGCCGAAAACCGCTTTGGGGAAAAACACATGAAACGTAAATTGAGAGCTGTACCTAGTGGCAGGTGCCAAATAGCACAGAATCATTATCAGAAAGAGAGAGATCTCACCTTGAAGCTCCTTGAATAGCACCCAACAAGACAGAAGGCAAGAACCAAGAAGCACATGGCAAGTAAAACTACTTTTATAACCGATGACATTTCGACAAGGCGCGCAACACCGTCGCTGTCGATCACTCACCTTCGCGTCGACGATAACTCCCGACTGTGAAAGACATGAATTTCGAAACACAGCAGGCATTTTTTTCGTTCCCATTAAGGAATCAATGTCGAAATCATTTTTGTCTCGTAAGACATTTTTGGTTCGTTCCCAAAAGGGAAAAAAGTGCGT